GTTGCTACGGAAACTTCAGCACGATGAATCTCCTTGCGCCACAGGAAGAGTTTGTGTGGGGACATGGAACGTCCGCACGATGTACGAGATTGACAAAGCTGCCCAGATCGCAAACTATATGAAAGGATACGGAATTCAAGTACTAGGGATATGTGAGAGCAGATGGAACGGGAATGGACTCACCAAATTGTCAACGGGTGAGTCAGTGATCTACTCCGGTTACCCAGAAGATAACCACACGCACACCGAGGGCGTGACTATCATGATGTCACCAACGGCAACGAAAGCCCTGATGCAATGGGAAGCGATCTCGTCCAGGATAATGACCGCCAGATTCAACTCCAAAGGAAGGAAAGTGTCAATCACACAGTGTTATGCACCCACAAACAACGCAGACCTCGAGAAGAAAGAAGAATTCTACAGGCAACTACAAGCAACAATGGACAATACTCCAGCTGGCGACATGAAAATACTAATGGGAGACATGAACGCCAAACTGGGACCAGACAAAACAGGAAGGGAACTCATTATGGGTTGAGAAGCTCTCGGAGAAATGAATGAGAATGGAGAACTCTTCGCCGACTTGTGCGCCTTCAACGAACTAGTGATTGGTGGCAGCTTACACGAACACACAGATATCCACAAGGCTACATGGGTGTCACCAGATGGGAGAACCAAAAACCAAATTGACTTCATCTCAATTTGAAGGAAGTGGAGGCGCAGCCTACTGGACACAAAAGCAAGAAGAGGAGCAGACATAGGCTCAGACCACTATCTCGTACAAGGGACAATCCAAATCAAACTAAAAGCTTTCAGCGAAGGAGGGGCTGCAGACAGACCACAAGCCAAGTTCAACACTCAAAAGCTGAAGGACCAGGCTACAAAGGACATCTTCATTGCAAACATAAAGGACAAAGTCGAGACACAAATCAACACTAGCGAAGAGATCGTCGTCGAAAAGCACTGGGACAACTTGAAAACGGTGTAGAGTCAAACCTGCATGGAGGTTCTAGGCAGAAAGAAGAGACACGACAAACAGTGGTTCACTGCTGACACTTGGAAACTAATAGAAGAGAGAAGAATAGTGAAACAAAAGATTATCCAGTGCACCGACAAGCGACAAAAGCAGGAGTTGAATGCAAGCTACAACACACTGAACAAAAGAGTGAAGAAGAGTGTTTGGGAAGACAAAAGAAAATATTATGAAGCCATGGCAAATGAAGCAGAACAAGCTGCAGGCATAGGAGACTGTCAGTCATGTCTCATAAACCGTTAATGCCCAGCTCTTGCTACGCTCGGGCCCACGCTGTTCCTAGCAGTTTTTCAGAAACGCTTAGTTATAAAGTACGAAAAACCAAAACACCGATTGGCCGCTTGGGAATTCTTTATTGTTACACCAACATATAAAAAATATTTCTATTAAGGTCTGTGAAGAAATATTGCAATAATAAATCATAAGATTACTTCTGATGGTTTGCTACTGACTTCTTTCTGAACAGCGACCGATGAGACGATGACTGTCGTATTGATGCCTTTGCGAAAATTGGGGAAGTTGGTTTTGAGCAAACAACCAAGAATTGATCGTTCAATCTTCAACTCCATTGACAGAGACCTTGCCACACTCTACCAAACAACTAGGCGCCTATCGCGCAAAATGTCGACATTGATTGAGCCAGTGAATGATGCTAATGGAAAGTCAATCACCAAAGAAGCGGGGTAGAGGAAGCACTGGGCTGAACCCTTGAATAGACTACTAAATAGACCACCACCTACAACGCGCCCAACAATACTAAAAACGGAAGCAGAATTACCAGTGAACATCAATCCCCCGATGAAATCAGAGGTCCTGAAGGCGATCAAGTTGCTAAAACCTGGAATGGCAGTAAGGCCGTACGGAATCCTAGAAGATGCATTGAAAATAGACCCAGAGACAACAGCGGACTTGATGGCGCCATTACTGGAGAAGCTGTGGAAAGAGGGCAAAGTGACCGAGGATTATAAGAAAAAATGCTTATTCAAACTATCAAAGAAAGGAGACTCAAGTCAATGCAAAAACTGACGCGGAATTATGCTCCTATCCATCCCAAGCAAAATACTAAGCCGCATCATCCTGGAGAGAATGAAACAAGCCCTGGGTGAAAAACTACGACCGGAACAGGCTGGATTCAGGAGAAACAAGTCATGTATTGATCAAATCGCCACACTATGAATCCTCATTGAACAAAGCTTGGAATGACAGTCACCTCTCTGTCTCAACTTCATCGACTTTCAAGAGGTCTTCGACAGCGTCGATCGAGAGGTCATCTGGCAGCTACTTCGCTACTACGGGGTCGCATCGACAGTTATACATCCCATCCAATAGTTATACGACAATGCTGCATGCCAAGTAATCCACAACGGGGAACTTACGGAATCCGTCGAAGCGAGGATGGGAGTGAGGCAAGGCTGTCTACTATCGCCAATGATCTTCCTGATTGCGGTTGATTGGATAATGAGACAGACCACGGGCAATGAGGAAACAGGCATAAAGTGGACCCACACAAAAAAACTTGGAGGATTTGGACTTCGCCGATGATGATATATGTCTGATTTCCCATAAACTGGAAGATATGCAAGTGAAAAGCAACAAGCTGGCAGAAGAAGCATCGAAGTTAGGACTTCAAGTGAACATAGAGAAAACAGAGGTAGGTGATGAAGATTCCTGGCCAACACCAACAGCAACAACAACAGACAAAAATCAGCCAGCATAAATGGGAGGAACCCATAAGAAACAACCTCCTTTACCTACCTTCCTACCTGGGGAGCATCGTTTCAACTACAGGCGGACAGAACTGTCAAGGATATCAAAGCAAGGATCGCGAAGGCAAGTCAAGCTTTCATTACTCTCAGGTCTCTTCAGCCTGAAAATGAAAATAAGATCCGGATTTTTAACTCCGATGTAAAGCCAGTGCTACTATACGGATCAGAGACTTGATGCGTCACAAAGAGCATCTCAAATAAGCTACGGAACTTCATTAGCAGTTGCCTTCGCTCAATACTCAAGATCAGATAACCAGAAAAGATCAGCAGCAGAGATCTCTGGGAGCAAACCAACCAATAACCGATTATAAAACAAATAGGCAGAAAAAAAATGGAGATGGATTGGCCATACTCTGAGGAAACCATCAAGTGACATCACTAGACAAGCCATTGCTCGAATGGAACCCGAGTCGGAAGCGGCGAGGTAGTCGTCCAAGGGTGGCTTGGAGGAGATCATGTAAATATGATATGATAGCATGTAGGCAGACTTGGAGTCAGGTGAAAACGTTAGCAGAGATCCGAACGCGATGGAGACGCTTGGCTGAAGCCGCATGTTTATCTAGGAATTAAAGGAAATAATAATAATTATTAATAAAGCCAAAACCTACTCTTTATTCATATTTGTTGTTTCCTTAAACTATGGTTGATATGATTAAAAACAAAACACTAATGTATGAACAAAGCCATATTTTCATCGATAACGACACAGGTGCATGCTTAGACCAATACGGTTAGCATTAAACATTGCAAATGTATGCTACCATTCCAAGGGCACTGTAGCTTCTTTTTGTATGTATTTTGTAAATGTACTTCCAATAATGTATGATGATAGTTGCAGTTTATACCATTTTGAAGTTTCTCAAGACGTTCTTCTTTTCCTCAGGTAACTTTTAATGACGTGGCGGCATAGCCCTCGCCCAAATAGACGCTGTTCACTGGTTAACCATAAATATCAGCAAGAAACGGAAAGAAGTTTGGGTTGTCGCTCAACTTTGGTGGTGATCTTAGTGAAGGGTTTACAATTGATTGTTTATGAGAACCCTTTTTGATTGCTTGTACAATAATCGAACAATTTAAACTTTTGAAAAAGTATTAATTTTCGATACTTCTTGATTGTATTTATTAGCATAGGTGATCGTGCCTGTAAAACTGGTATGGGTTTCTTGTAAACTTAACCGTTTATAAAAAGTATAGATTAATAATAACTTTAAACTCAGTTTTATGCTCCCACGGCCTGGCCACAAAGGTTTTGGGATCATCAAACTTGGAAATCTGATGACCCGGGAACCATTAATCTTTGGTGTTTTTCTTGAGTTCGGTCAATTATAAGCCCGTAAGCTGTCTTTTGACGCCATCTGCCAGGCTTAAGGCAGCACGGACGTATGAGCCAGATCCTTTTAGAACTTCAGAACCGCTTAGAATGGCATCATTCTTTTCTTTTAAGTTCGGCTTTGAGAAGGTGCACTGGCTGATTTGCCGTTGAGTCAGGCTTTTGGCCGATTCTATACAAGCTATGTATATTTACATCTGATACTGCTGTTGGCATTGGCTTATCTAGGACAGTCTTGACCGAGTTAAGGTCATGTTCGAACCCAACCCTGAGATTGAAAACTAGCGATTCTTCCACTTTTTAGAGAATGATTGACCTGTCGGAAAGATCAGGTTTAAATGTAGTGGCTTTATTATAAGAACACGGTGTGAGTAAATAGACTGGAAACTGAAATGAAAACTAATTCCGGCCAAAATAAAATGATTTGAAACTAATCTGTAGACTTTCGGGGCGTAAAACACAATAAAAGCCGAATTTAAACAAGAGAGTGTAGAATTCACTCCCTTCTCAAATATCACGCGGTGGCAGCAATGTGTTTTCAAATAGTGTGAACTATTCACTATTTCTTATCATAGTTGACAGTTTGTAGTGAATTGTCTTCCTGTATGCACCTAAGCATGTCGATTTGATGAATTGACAACATTTTTTCAGCACACTGAGAAGTATCAATTTTCTCAAATGTTACATTTTTTTCGTTGAAATATGGTATGTAGAATGCGCTTCTGTTGAAAAAAACAGTAAAAGCAACCTAGGATAGCCTAAACATAACAAAATGATGACACTTAGCATCTGCAGCGGTCAGCTGATTTGTGCTTCTATCCTCTACATGTCTATATTTTGTCAAAGTCCGCCTCAGTAACGTTCAATGCGTATTCCCCACAATGTTTACGCAAACGAAAGTCTACCAATCAAATCCGCACAAGTGACCTTGAAGTGCTTAGCCTCTCCGAAAACCGCGTAAACCATGCGCCTCAGTATTGTAGTTGCAGTGTCAGAAAACTGGGGTATAGGCAAATGTGGGGGTTTACCGTGGAAGTTGAAGTAAGAAAACTGCCTATTCTTTACGTGGATTTGGTTTGTAATACTTCTTCTATGCCCAACTGTAGGACTGGCTGAAAGATTACTTAGGCGAGAGAGAACCCAGTCAGTTAATGCACATGGGCAAACGTGGGATAAAAGGGTAATTTTGATCGGCAAACACGTGGGCAAAAGATGGTGTAAATGCAACCGATTTTACCCACTTTGGCCACATTTCCCACTTTTTCCCCGTTTTCCCATGTCCAGATAAAATTTGTTTGTCCCACCTTTTCCCAGTTTTCCCACGTAACCCACTTTTTCACCCATTTATCCCATGTGCAGGAATTCAAAATATACCCACTTTTTCCCCGTTTGCCCATGTCATTTTAGAAAACAGCCCACTTATTCCCACTTTGCCCACATTTAAACGGAAAACTACCCACGTTTTTACCCACATATCCCAGGTCCACAAAAAAAGTAACCGACTGGGAATTCTGCACCAAAGTCAACCGCATCCGATCATCCTGGCGTACCTCGGCATCAGGGGTTCCTCAGGGTTCTATTCTAGGGCCGTTGATGTTTTTGATTTTTATCAACGACCTGCCCCCTCAACTAAACTGCTCTGCGCTTCTTTACGCTGACGACGTAAAGATTTGGAGAGCAATAAACTCATCGGAAGACTCAGATAGATTGCAGGCTGACCTGCAAACTCTGGGAAATTGGGCTTTGGCTAACGAAATGCCTTTCAACCTAAAGAAGTGCAAAGTAGTGCAACTTCATTCCAGCAGGTCACAGAGTGTAAATTACACCCTTGGTGGCGAGAACTTGAGTTGTGTTCTATCAGAGCGCGATCTAGGTCTTATTATAACAGAAAAGCTAGACACCAGTGGAAATTACGCAAGGGACGTCGCCAAAGCCTACGCAACTTTACACTTTATGCATAGGCAGCTGGGAGCTCTTACTCCCGAACTGTTCTTAAGGTTATATAAGACATGTGAGGCCACACCTTGAGGTGCATAATATCATTGCACCTCCGCTACTCAAAAGGGATGCTAACATTCTAGAAAGTGTACAGAGACGAGCGACAAAATGGGTGATCGGCCTCCGCAACAAATCATATGAGGAACGACTAAAGAAATTAGGTCTTTTCACACTTGGTTACCGTAGGCACAGGGGAGACCTCATCACTGTCTACCAGATCTTAAATGACCAGGCCCACCCAAATAAAAGCATCCTGCCATTAAGTGATTATAGGCTTCCACGAGGTAACCCGCTAAGGATAGCTCACCAGAGACCAAAGACTCGAGTGCGATCACATTTCTTTTCGCTTCGTGTTTGCCGTCTCTGGAACGCTTTACCGGCGGCCGTGACTACAGCGCCATCTCTGGAGATTTTTAAGCGGAAGCTAGACAATCATGCAGAAATGCAAGGTTTGTGTCTCAATGGCTTATCTTCATAAAACTTAAAACCACACTGTCAATGGATAAGCGTACAAACTAAATCCCCACGACCTGTTCTGCCTTCTCTCACTCCATCTTTTCCTTAGGTCACCTTTATTATTTCACTTATCTCAACCCATATTATCTACACTACAACCTATTATTATCATTATATTATTACTATTCTGCTTTTATGACTACACCGAATGACCAACGGGAGTTAGGTCAAACTCCATTCACGGCAGCAATACAGTCCTAACATACTGGATACTACAAACCACATCTTGACCAATCCCCGCACCACTCCTCTTGGCGTCTACCAGAGCTAAAGCAGTCGAGTGTCGGGACTTACTACGGAGAAGCTCACCGAAGATCTGGAACCTCTACCTCACAATCAAGAAGCGAGCTCAAAGAAATCACTGGTTTATACTAGCTCGTAATCAGGATATTGGATATTGGACTGTGTACACACGTTTATCAGCTACATGACAAAGTTCATTAAATAGTACAGCAACATTAACCATATATCACGTATTACTGCAGGCGGAACCACAATGACATGAGAAAAATACCGTCATCTTATAATACCTATATATAGTTTAATGCCCCAAAATTACCAACATGTTATTTGTACAACAGTGACATCTAGGTAATATTTTTTCTGCCAAACTGCTCGACTGTTTAGCAGTACTTGGACTAAACTTTAGGTCCTTTAGTTTTACTAAGAACTACATTATTCGGAAGTTAGAATCTATCCGTCATTTTTCGTGGTGCTTTCAGGATGTTAGTGTTCAGAGTTGTGATATCCTGGTTCATGGTGACGGTTTCATACATTCTTGCCACCTTCATGTGCTTATTGACCAAATATCTATGTATCCTTTTTTCCATGAAATTCATGATTATCGTCTATATTTCAGTATCGTGTACACTTGTCTAATAGCCTGTGCGGAGTTGAGTTGGCTTTTTGGCTGCATCAGCAGGCAAAGATAGACTGAAAGACATTTGTATTCACATTTTTGGCCTTTCTTTCGCAAATGAAAAACTGGCATATTAGAACCAAATTCTCGATCTTTCCGTATCCGAAATTAATAATCTAAAAAGGCACTCTCAATAACCAACTTCTCAGTACTGCTATCATCGGTTGATCTTACATGCTGTTACTATTCATCAATTTATTCCCCTTTCTTCCTGGCGAAAATGATATCTCTGCATGTGTTACACGTTTTCTAATCGCCAACGTTAGTGCAAATATATAGTCTCAATCAAATGGTTTGTGTTCAACGACGATTTTATGAAAACAAGTAATTGCTCTCAGTTATAACCTACCCTAAGACTCTACAAATTTATTGATACATAGATTCTTCGTTGAATTCCCAAACTGAATTAACAACAGTTATCGGAGAAATGGTCGGTTAGATATTCTTCTAAAAATCACTCAGTTACATGATTGTACTTACTATTATCACCACTGTCCACCTGTCGCACGTTTATACGTAGTTTTCAAATCAAACACGTTTTGTACTTTTCAAAGTGTCGTAGCTGAAAAGAATATATAAAGTTGCATTTTGATTTGGCTATCTTTTTCATTTTGTTTTCGTAGAGGCGAATGCCTTCTCCAGTCTAATAAAAGCACTTATTACTAAAAATTACCATCTGTTTCTAAAGTGAGTAGCCTGTTTATCACACAATCAAACAATATTGTTTTATATTTAAAGCAGGAATTTATCGGTATTGTTCATTGTAAAAGACATCTGTAGAATAATGTTTCACCGTAGTAAGGATTATTGTCCAGGTATTATTAAAGAGTTGGCATCCTGTTAGTAAAATTGATTTCTTAACATGCTTTGCAAACTGACACAAATACTATGAACAGTACTAGAAAGAGATCAATATTATTTAAACGCAGAAAAAAAAACGGTACAATATGGCACCAAAAAGGATGCGCCACACAATAATAATAAAACAACATAGATCAGAAGTAAAAAATATAAGTAGAGAACGGATAAAGAACTTCATCTGGAAGGAAAACAGTCATACTTAACAAGTTCAAACAGTATTCGTTAACTATCATCGTGGAGGGAAGAAAGAAGAGAATTGCAACACGTTCGCCACTGACTACGATTCTTGGCCATATCAGATGATGTTGCGAGCCATCGATTCGTGCTATCTTGCGGACACCAACCAGGGGGTCGTGACGCACCAGGCCTTTCAAGATGTTAACAAATTTCTCAGGTACGTCCCTCTCTAACAGACGGTTCTAGAGCACAGTTCTGTCCAACGAATCGAAGGTAGCCCAAATATCAAGAAACAATGGTAGCTGGCCTGCAATACGTTTGGCGGTGTTCCAACAACTGACGAAGGGTGAACACATGGTCAATGCATCCACGACCTGAACGAAACCCAGCCTGTTCTTCGCGAATCAATCCTTCACGTATTTTGCACAGCCTGCGAAGCAAGACAGCAGCCAATATTTTAGACGCAACTGGTAGCAGACTGATACCCTTATTATTGTCACATGAATTACGTCGACTCTTTTTAAAGATGGGGACGATAATGGCTTCGTTCCACATTGATGGTGCACTCTCAGCCTCCAATACCTTCCTGAATAACCCAGTTAAATCCATCGCGAGAGTCTCGCCACCATCTTTAAAAGGAGCCGGGGGTAGATTGTCTGGGCCGGGTAAGAGAGATCAATATTGCCATGGTTTTACATGTTTTTCATCTTGCCTTTATGAAGACAGATTACTCAATGTGCTTATTTCAAAATTACAGGACCGTCTCAAACTGTAGTATCTTCACTAAGTGAAGTCTACAGTTTCGTCTTAGTGATTATAACGAATCTTAACAAGGATATCGTATGCGCATATCTTTGTGCGCTTTCGATCCTTCACCTGCGTTGCTGTTAACACATTGTGAAGAATAAAATAATAATTCCAAAATCAGTTATTCATCAAGTCAGCTACACTGCTTTTCGAAATGCTCTATTTACATTAAGCGTGTTTCAAAAAGTTATTTATTGGGATATCAGCTATCTTCTCTGGCTGTTGGAATAAAAATAGCATACTATTAATAATAAAAAAACAGTTGTTACTCCAACCGATGTAGCGTGAAAGTTGCCTACTTTTTGAGTAGCATCTGTGTTCAAGGCTATTTAGTTGTGCAGACTGTTAAAGATAACTTTCAGCTATATTTTTAAGCGCATTAGTGTAATACTCGACCTTTAAATTCTTATTTATTTTTCAGGAAAGACATGGCATTTTTCAAACAAATCACGACGACAGCTAAGCCAGGTAAGTAAGTCTTCATTAGTGTGTAAAATTTTAGGTCTAAAAAATGCTGTTGTGATGGGAAGAATCACATGGGAATCCATACCTCAGAACTTCAAACCACTGAAGGACAGAATCAACATTGTTGTATCTAGTACACTCAAACAGTATTTCTTCATAAAAATAATTGGTTCATTCATCCAAGATTGCCGCCAGGAGTTCGTGTTGTTCCAAGTCTTAATGCAGCTGTAGAATTGTTGTACACAGAGGAATTAAGTTCTATAGTTGATGAAGTTTTCATTATCGGTGGATCACGCCTTTACGATGTGAGTTAAAATTGTATTCTGTTATATGTAATGGCATACTAAGTTTCACGGACCGCAATACTTTCTCAGCCCTAAAGTACTACAAAACAGACTGTCTTGCTGAATATTACCATTCTGCCAAGTGTCGCACAATCTAGAATATAAAACAGTCTTCCGTATTTGTGCTAAGATTTCATCAATGACGTTTCCATTGGAGCTAATGCAATTTTTATAATAATTGATGTAATCAACAAGTCAGTTTATTAAATGTCGAGACCAACCGGAATCACCTCAACCAGAAGATTTATGATAAAATTGAATTAAAATAGTGCCAGTGACTATCCATGACAGATCTTCATAAGCTCTAACACAGTCGCGTAAGACCGATAAGAGTGCCCTATTTAGTATGATTAGTACTCTAGTTACATTTTCTCTGGATCCACCATAAATGATGTAGTCAAATACCGTCATCATGTCTAGAAATGTAATGTGTATGGAGTCTCAGTAATTCTATCCGCTTTCTCTAATCTGTTAATGAATAAAAATGTGAGCTATCCACTCCTGTTCATGAAAGATTATTATCTAGTTATTTCTGGCCTGTTTTCTTGACCTCTTTTTAGTCTTTGTAGGAGTATACACCCTAGAATTGTAAATGCTGGTCTTCTAATGTTCATCGTGAAGAAATTTGTTCAATTTCTCAGAGAATTAGAATGAATGCCTCATCGCTGGGCTAGTATATGATATGATAGTTCCTATTGCTTTATCCTATCAGGTTTTATATTGACAATATTAGCCTGTGATACTGTAGTTTCTTTGTTTTCTAGTTCCAATTTTTTTTCTTTTTAAAAAAAAATAAATACAGGAGACTCTAAAGCAGACAAAATATCCCGTTCGTATATATTGTACTCATGTACTTAAAGAAGTTGATTGTGATACTTTCTTCCCCAAATTCGACTGGAACAAACTTGAAAAAATTAAGTAAGTAGTCAGCTTTCTTCTACTTTTTTGTTTTATGACTCATGAAGTCTCTTTGTGTTTGCTCATAATGAATAAAACGTGTAAGCGAACAGTATCGTTTTCAATTATGTCATCATACTTTACTCTGCTATACGTAACTTCATTATAAACAGTTAACGGACATTTGTAGATGTGATGATAAGTTTATGCATGCTAATTGTGTAATTAGTGCTAATAATAAAAGTAATAATTCTATTGATAACAAAGATGACAAAATCGGAGCGATTTGAGATGACAAGAATATTGAAAAAATGATTAAACAAAGAAATTTCCAGATAGGTTAGATAGGTTTCTAGATAAAGGTTAAGAAAAATCAGTAGCACGTGTCTGTTTCATTCTGTTCTCTGCAGTCCTCTCTAGGTGACTTCACAACTGCCCATAAGCTCTCACCTTTTGACATACCCACACACACACCAAACCCGTCGCTTTTCATTCGAGTTCCACTCGAGGGTCTGCCTGTCGTGTGACATCACTTAACAGTCTCCTCAGCCTATGTTCAATCCATCTCGATTTCCTTCTGGATATTTGTTCAGGGATAGGTTGTTGCTTGGTGCGTTGTCAGAGTTCCCTTGTGGCTTGATCATAGGTGCCTGTGTTCTATCTTCCGTGTGAAGTCTGTCTGTTTTCGACATAGAACTTTGCACAAATGTGCGGAAGTTCAAGTCGTTCAAGTGGTATAGTAGAATGAGCAATATTGAGGTTAGGCATCGAAGGCTAGGTAAGGGGGGGGGGAAATCAATAGACGAGGTTGTAAAGCTACATCGACTGAGATGGTTAGGATGTGTTACACATGCCTAGCCATCGCCTTCCTCGACCGTCAATGCTAGCTGACATAGGATTGATTGGGCTGGTAAAGAGAGAGCTAGTGGTGGTCAAACGAAAACTTGGCATCAGTCTATGAGAAATTCAATATTTAGTTTGAGCCACGTAGGGAGGTGTAGACTTCTTGGTTGGGGTCTTCGGGAAGCTAATTGCCAATGACTAAAGACTACCGGAGATATGCCTGGAAATAGTTTTCAATAGTGCATATACATTCACTCTTTGCGACTTTCCACAGCCACTAAACTTTTCTTTTCATGCTATTGTTCTTTCTTACTCATATTTCTGCATATTATAATTCTTTGGAATTCTTTTTTTTGGCTTTGTGTGCTATACAGAGTGTAGCAACTTGTGAACTATTGCACTTCTGTGCTGGTTTCTCTGTTGAGACTCGGTCAGTTAGTCAGTCAGATAAAATTAAATATCACTAGTGGATGTCACTCAGACAGGCATGTATATCTATCGGTTATTATTTGTGGTTATTAATTTCCATGTATGAGTTTAATGGTTTAATCAATAATTTACTTGTTAAGTGATATCATATATACACAGTTATAGTTTACCTTTTACATTTTCATTGGTATAAACACACTATCATCAGTGTTTATGTTAGATGGGTAAGTATGATTAGATTTCACTTAATTGAATGCATTAGTGGATTGAGATCAAACAAAGGCGCGATTCATTTCTGTGTTTCTCTTTTAGCGTTTTGTTATGTTCATGATTTCATCCGAATTAAAAGTTTTCTCCTAGTTATGTCTGTGCGTTAGTGGTTTAGTGGTAAAAAGCTTGCCAGCCATGCCTCGCATGCACCGAGGTTCTATCACCAGTCAATTTGATATGATTATAAGCAATAATTTATGCTCGAAACTTCATCCAGTTATTAGCACTTCTACATCACTGTGATATTTAAAATAAACTTATCTAATATGGAATTATATTCTACCATAGTGCCCAAGTTCTATGCTAACGTTAATAAGTTGATTACATGAAGTCGTGTACATTATTTGAAAAGCCTTGGTGCATCCATCCTACGGGTTACCACTTTTCACTGGGCTCGAATGCCAATAGGTACGTACTGGTACGAAATAGCTGTCCAGTACTCCCAGGCTTTCCAGTGATTCTGTAATTGATGTCAACTCGTGATCATACCTGTAACCACGAATAAAATTCCTGAAAATCAACACTTGCTATGTGATTATGAGTCACAAAACGATTAGATGTATGAATGAATAACTCAACAAATAAAGGTCAACATAAATTTCAATGCAGCTGTGTGAAATAGGCTTAGGAAAGCAAAGTACATTTAGAAGTGTGAATATTTGAGCATGGCAACAAGGTAAATGATGTGTTGTCAAAATAGTAGAATAAATAAAGCGTTAGTATGTGATAACACAAAGTGAAACAAAAGAAAACAAAAATGGAACATGGAATAAAAAGGGATAACCAAGTTTTTGTGAATGACAGGGTAAAATTAAGACCATGGTAACGAAAGAAATCGTACAAATCCTATTTTACTCTAAGTTCTGGCTTATATACATTAATTATATATTACCAAAGCCTCCGCTATACAAAGCAAGTGTACTCGTGTCCTTTTCAGCAAAATTTGTCGAACTTTGTGGAATATATTATAGGATGTATCAGATGCTGCGTGTTCAGTATCTACAATATGTTGCAATATCGGTGAATTAATGTCTTTATGCTCTCCTTTTCTCAGCTAAGTTGTGGAGTGCTCTCGAACGCAGAGGGATATGTTTCTTGAAGAATGTCCTATGTATCTAGCCCCACAAGAGCAAGTGGACATATATATATATATATGAAAAATGTGGTGTATTGATCTTATACATTTCGAACATAATCTGACCTCTCTCTCTCTCTCAAACACACACACACTTCTACTTGTCAAGTCAGTTTATATGAAAAGTAAAGGCCAATTAATATGCACGGAGTGACAGAAAATTAAGACAAAGAATAATTAACGCCTAATGTTTGGTTATATAATCAGAGAAAGATTGCCAAGTTAGGTAATAAGAGTAATAATAACTTGTTTTTCTACACACAAGGGGGAGGGTTAAGTTGACAAATAGCTATCGTGTGTGTGTGTTTGTGTGTTTCAGTAAACGCCCTTAACTGTATTTATAAATAACTTTAAAAAGTGTTTTGATATCAATTTTGTGATTCACACCAATTGAGTGTTTTGTTATAGACTATGTTTCTAGTTTGATACCTGCGCTTGATCGAGGTTTTACAGTTCATTTGTTTTTGTTTTCTCCAATCACTATTTGGGCTATATGTTCTCCTACCTTCATATTATTGATCTGTTTTGGTTTTTCTTCCCCAGTTTACCTCATATACCCAAGGATACCATCACAGAAGATGGATTGACGTACAAGTTCTGCGTTTATGATGTTCCATCCGGAGTGTCTATTGAATCATGATGAGCTTATATTTATTTATATGAACTATTTTTTTATGGAAATTACAAATGCAATTGTATTCATTAAGTGCACTGTTGTTTTCAAGTATGCATAAATGTTTGTATGGAGTAACTGACCAGTATTCTGAGAAGTCTGAATACAGCTTAGTCTCATTTTATGTCATTCCTTTAAGTTCCGAGTAGAACATACGATTTAAAGCTTTAGCTGTGATGTTTCACTAACGACGCTATTGTTTTTAGGGGGTGGGACTTGTAGCCTCACGCTCCACTGTCCATCTTTACATGATTTACCACTGGCTTAGCGAAGTTTAGGAGTACATCGGCTGGGAAGCGAACCCGGACCACAACGGTGGTTAGCGAGTGTTCCACCATTGAACTACGGAAGCACCAAGTCGACTCTAGGGATTGCTAACTATCGGGAAAAAAATCACTTGTACTAGCTTATGCTGGAAATGTTTACCCGTCAACTTTCAGCATTGACGTGCTTTTTGTCTCTCCGAACTCTTGGCTTTCATGTATAACATGTTTTGCGACATTCACTTCAGTTAGTCGAAGCCTATCTATTATAGATTAGTGATTTATGAATGACGTGATTTTATGCTACAGAAAATATTTAAATAACAGGGGAAATTTTAAATTTATCACACAGGTAGATATTATTCGGTATTTTTAATGGTGAATGATCTATCACTAGAAGTAGTTTGGTGGATGGTGACTGGTCGTGGAATCCAGGATGCGCATTCGATGAACTGGATGAATTCGCATACCCCAGGGAATTATGATGTTCCCATTGGGTCTCGAAGCCATTTTTCTCTCGTTTCAAAGGGTCTTCCACTGGATTATCTGAAAGCTGTTTCGTCCGCGATAAGAACTTTTCAGTTATGCGCGCCCAATGCTCCCAATAGGAATCGCTCGTTGGCTACTGTACCAGTTGGGTTGAAATTCGATGACTTGTGAATTCTAACTTTGTTGGTTCGTGATGTAGTTACGACTATTATTCAATTATTATTAATTCCACATAATACCGGAGGAGATTAAAGGTGATAATTTTTCGACTTGAAATGAAAGTTGTAAGGAACGAATACAGAGTACATACAAGAATAAGTTGTGTTATATGAAGGAAATGGAGAAACAAACAAACGAAAACTAATGAGTCAAACAGAACTAGATTCATGGTAGATGTAGGGGTTGGAATAATTTTCTTTTGAGTACATAGCTCCGGATTTCGATGCGTTTGGTGAGGGCTTCTACAGTACAAAGACGTGCTCTTGGCCCACCTTTAGCAGACTGTTTTATGACGAATTTGGAAAATGGAATCTTAAAATCAACAATCGAAAAATTGCTGCTCTACAAAGCGTAATGTTAACGACACCTTCACTGTCTGTCAGGATGATTGCGATCTGAACTGTATCTTACAAGAAATTAATATTTGTCGTCGTTCATTTAAATTCACAATGGAATTAGAGAATGAATTAAAGATTCCATTTCTCGAGGTAGAACTGAGGAGTGTTGATGGAATTCTGAGAGGGTGTATCCACAGAAAGCCATCTTGGAATGGTCAACTGACAAACTTCTGTAAGTCGAAAAAGAGCTCTTATCATCTCACTTGCTCAGTCTGTTAGAAGAATATACGGAATTGACTGCTTAGAAGAAAAACTCTTATTTCTCAAAACGCGAAACCAGGACCAAAATGAGGACAATGCACTTCAGCTCCGAAGAAGATGTTGGACCTCAGGTTAGATATAGCGGTAAATATCCGGAAGAGAAGAATCTCTAGTTTCATAAAGAAGACCTCTCCTGCAGCAACATTAAGAGTGGTATTCTCTAGATACCTACTGCTTCCAATCAACGTGAAGGACAAACTCCCGCATATAAACATTCCAATGTGCGCATATCAATACACCTGCTCATGGAGAGCTAGGAGCTATGCGCTTCCGTTTCAAAATGTGCTAGAGAACATTAGTCAGGATGGCTGCAAAGAGGTGTACTGGTTCATTGAGAAACGTCATAATTAAACAAACACCTATCACAGCATCTCACAACTGACTTATCACACAGATACCTTTACAATGCCTCCCCCGACGGGCATTACTAGCTGATATAGGTGCAGGTTGGAAAAGAGCCAGTGGTGGCCAAGCAAAAACATGGCATCAATCCATGAACTCCTTGACAGTTAAACTGAGTCAGGTAGGAAGATGCAGACTTCCGGGTCTGGGCCCTCGGGACTCTAGGAATCAATGGCTGGAGACAATAGGTGACATGGCTCAAAATCGTTGTCAATGGCCAGCGCAGATGTATTCAGTCTCTGTAATCTTTCATATTTCTTTCTACCATTACCCATTCTGTTTCGCTCTTATACCTGTCAAACTCTATTGATTCTCTTCACTCATCTTCTTATCTACCTTTGTGTGATGTTTGGAACGTGGCAAGTTGAACTGCTGCACTTCGGTGCCAAGTTCTATGTTAAATCCAGGCAGACAAAGTAAACAAAAGTCCACCAATGACAGTGTGTTTCCGACTTCTTCAGAATCCCTTGCCGTATTGTAGCGACAGAGGACAAGGGCCAAGCAACACATCGTTTATTGAGAAAACCAAGAGATATTTATAGATTTTTATGTGCATTATTATTCGTTATTGTTAACAGAAGCAACGTCTTCTGATTGCCTATTTTCTTGCTGAAGGCTATTCTGCACTGCTTGTGACCGTTGCTTAAAAAGTTATCCATATATATGCGAATCGTATTTGCACACACTAAGTCTTCTGTGATTGGTTGTTGAGCTCCTCAAGGTTAGGCTTTGTTCCTATTTCTTCGCATGACCCGATTTGGGACGTAAACATTGACCTCAATTGTTATCTACAATTGTAGACAGCTCTCACTACCATATGTGTATAGAAAAGCCGGATCTATGTATTCAAGAAAAACTAGTTCGACCTCTACGTTTGTCTGTCTGTTTTCGACATAGAACTATGCACAAATGTGCGGAAGTTCAAGTCGCCACATTCCGTGTAGCACGCGAAGCAAGAGAAGAAAGTACAAGAAAAGCATAATAGAAACAGTGAGCAGAGATGTGAGACAAAGGAGTAATAAAGAAATACAAAACAGTTTCATTGAAGATCATAAGTCACAGGGAGTGGATACATCTGCGCCACTGAGAACGGTTTTGAGCCATGTCACCAATTGTTTCCAACCATAGATTTTTACCGTCCCGAGGACCCCAGCCTGGAAGTCTACACCTTTCTACGTGACTTAGACCAACTGTTGTGGATTTCATTGACTGGTGCCAAGTTTTTGTTTGACCGCCGCTAGCTTTTTTCCAGCCTGACCCTATGTCCGCTAACATAGCTCGTCGAGGGAGGCGATGGCTTGGCATACGTAACACATGTCCTAACCATCTCAGTCTTTGTAGCTTCACGACTTCGTCGATTGATTTCCCCTGTTTACCTAGAGCTAAGTAGGGTATGGTTGAGTTTTTGTACTTACTAGTACGAGCATATAGTTTTCTATTTAGGCTTCTAGTTTTCCCTGAAAAGATACATGGGAGAGTTGTGAATGTAGAGGGTGTTGTGAGTCAGATAAAATGGTTTTTGCCCATTTTTCACATGAGCTTATGTGCGTGTCAACCAGAATATTAAGAAGCTGGTTAAGTGGCACGTTGCTTACCCTGCTGACAACCTTTAATATCCTGCGTAATAAGGTATAGTCTTTCTTCAGTAGTCCAGGAAAAACTAAGGGGGAACTATACAGAATAATAGGCAGAATGCGAGAGTTAACGAATCGTAGGAGTAAGGGTTGGGTTACACCAGAAAGTCTTAACTTCTTGATGTAGAAGGTAAGACAGAATATTTTCTTGGAAATCGTCAAGATATGAGACGACCAGGAAAGATCAGCAGATAGAATGACGCCTAGGTATTTAACTTCCGACTTTGTTTCAATTTCAGTGCCATCTATGTTGCAAATCTCGTGAGTCCTAACCAGTTTGTTTAGGTCAGATTTGTGCCTAAAGGTGAAATTAACTGTTTGGCATTTGGAGGGGTTTAAGTTTAGACCGTTTTCCTTGGACCACTTGCTGATTTCTGATAAAACGCCATTTAGTTTAGAGCAGTCACTTTGACATTTGACAAGCAAAGATACAGTCAGGTTGTGGGCATATTTGACAAAATTAATGTCATTTGAGGATGGTAAGTCCTGTGGAAAGGAAGAAAAGAGAAGTGGGGAGAGTACAGCACCTTGGGGGACACCAGCTTCAGTGATCACAGTAGAGGAGGATTTACCTTTGCATACAGTGTACTGCATTCTGTTAGAGAAGTAGGAATGCAACCGGTTACTGACCCAGGACTCAGTTTGTGTCATAGAGAGCTTATTTAGCAAGAGGCATACCGAGTCAAGAGCAGAAGTAAAGTCGAGAAACGTGCAGCGGACGTATTCGGCACCTTCATCTAATGATGAGACAATATTGGTGTGTAAGACGGCTGCAGCGTCTAAAGTACTCCTACCCTGTCTGTAGGCAAATTGTTTGGAGTCTTCAAAGCATTTAAGGAAGGGTTCGAGTTTAAGAAGTGCTAGTTTTTCCATAAGCTTTAGAAACGAGGAAGTAATGGCAACGGGTCTGAACTTTACGTTCTTGCTATTGCCAGGTTTAGGGACAGGGACTATTTTAATGTCTTTCCATGCAACAGGTACAACGTTTTTGGAGAAAGAAGCATTTAGGGTGTTAGTTAGTGGAGAACATAAAGCATCTGCAAATTGTTTTAGAACATATGTCGGTATACCATCAGGGCCAAGGCTACGTGAGGGCTTAAGCGTTTTAAGACATTTTAGAACATCGAGAGTATTAAAGTCATGAAAATTATCAGCTACATGATTAGTAACGTAAGAAGTGGTTATAGTAGAAGGAGAGCGTATAAAAGATTGATTAAGAGCATTAACAGCATAAGAGGGAAAAACATTACATCGCTTACTATTACCAGTAATTTCATTGAAAAGTTTCCACATGCCGATAGGAGATTTGCATAATAAAAGTGTATGGTTATACATTGCATTAAGATTTTTGATTTCAGATTTGATTTGAGCATTAATCCTTTTAAGTCCCAACTTATCTTTGAATTTATATAATGTTTCTTTTTGCCTGCGAAGTTGTTTGAGACGAGGAGATGAGAAGCGGTCGAGGCGTTTGAATAGCGTTTGTTCGGGACAGCATATATCAAGGCAGAACTTAAGATAATCCTTTATATATATATATATTCATATGTTCAAACTTTCATAATTCGTCATATAGCGATTCCATTTTTGTAAAATATGTTCTAAATGAATTGAATGCACGCAGTGCATATATATAGATTCGGTGTAAAAGTTCACTCTCAACATGGAATTATGTATTTAAGGGTGATTGTGTATAAATTTATCATAATATATATGGTCAAATTAACCAGCATAAACTTTCTAATGCTTAGGACAAGGCATTTCATGAAATATAAAAATGAGGTGAAATGGATAAGAAATATTGCAAGCACATAACTCTCTCTCTCTGTGTGTCTCTAAATGACAAAACGCCTTAACACAGGATGTATTGCTGAGTATATGTTGTTTGTAAATAACGATATAAGTGGACGTTCATCATATTGGTATAAAAAAAAACAACAAACATTCACTTAATTTAGACTTAGAAATGCAAATTTTCGACAGTTAACGTGTTCAAGTTTCAAATGATCGTTTTACACAATTAGGATTGAACAGAAGAAAACATAAAGGTGGAGGAGAATTTTCT